ATCAAGACCCTTTTGGTTGCAAAGAACAGCAACCCAACTCACACTGGCTTAAGCAACAGTAGGGGGATTTATTAGCTCCTGTAACTGAAAGATACGGGTTTAGCTGTGCCATCAGGCACAGCTGGGTCAAGGCATATAACATTGTCAACTGGACTTGGGCTATTTACTCGTCTTGCTTTCTCAAGAAATAACCTCATTCAAGGGGCGCCTGGGTGGCGCAGTCGGTTGAGCGTCCGACTTCAGCCAGGTCACGATCTCGCAGTCCGTGAGTTCGAGCCCCGCGTCGGGCTCTGGGCTGATGGCTCAGAGCCTGGAGCCTGTTTCCGATTCTGTGTCTCCCTCTCTCTTTGCCCCTCCCCTGTTCATGCTCTGTCTCTCTCTGTCCCAAAAATAAATAAATGTTGAAAAATTAAAAAAAAAAAAAAGAAATAACCTCATTCTCCAGCTTGCTGTCCCCACATGGTGGCAGGGTGGCCATTTAGCTACCATAGTGAAAGAGAGCGCCTCTTTCCTGCTTGTCCCAGGGCCACTCATGGAGGTCTGTCATTGTCTTGGCCCCCAGCTGGTACCCATTCTTGAACCAATCCCTGTGGCAGTGGAGGGGTGGTGTGCAGTGGGAAAAGAGGAATTGGTGGTGATTGACCAGTTATATCCCCAAATCTCCGAAATCACTGGCCTGAGGCTGGCAGGAGCAGGGCGTTCCACAAAGGAAATTGGACGGCTGTCGTCGAATCCAGGCAAACATAACCAGGGTCGAGTCAGAGAGCCACTAGGGGTTGTGAGCAAGGGAAAAGCAGGCCCTGATGTCCATCTTGAGATGACCACTCTGGTAGCTGAATGGGGGGAAGAGATAGGAGGAGGACAGAGTGGAGATGGTCACTCTATTGATGGTTGGCATCACGAGTCCAGGAGAAAGGGACAATGGCATGGCCAGCCTGGGGGCAGTGGAGCAGAGAGGGGTGAGAAAGGCGCACAGTGCCAAGGTGTGTTGGTAGACTGCGCAGCAACGGCCCAGGAAGATTCCGGTCTAGACCAGGGTTTTGGACTGAGCCCCTAGGACGGGGAGCTTGAAGGAAGGGCAGGTTTGGGGGAAGGTTGATACTTCAGCTTTGTGAGCGCTGCATCTGAAGAGCCTTGGGACACCCTTGGGGAGGAGTCCTAGAGGCGTTTCTTTGGGATGTGGAATTCCAAGGGCACTCTTGTCTGGTTCCTATGAAATATGAGAAGGAGAAATAAGTTGAGTGATGTCTGGTCTGCCCAGGAGAATGTCCTAGAACCAAGGGTGGCCTGCTCTCCGGGAGGGCTGAGACAGGAACAACTTGCTGGGCTGTTTGCCGGGAACGGGTCCCTCAAACAGTATGTGTGAAGTCCAATCCCTCCCTTAAAAGTCAAAAGACCTTTTGAGATCCTTAGGCAGCTAGGTAGTCAGTAGGCTGGGGCAACCAATGAATGTTGGTCAAACTGACAGGGTCCCAACCCACAGGAGCTGACAGTACAGCTGTGGTGAGAAAGGAGAAACACGGGACGGCATGGAAGATGTCTGGGCAGACAGCCCAAACACAGCAGAGTGGCATGGCTCAGGCAGCAGAGGCCGGGGTGGGGTGGGGGGGGGGGCTGCTGAGGA